CTCAATATTATATAAATTCATTTTATAAATATAAATTAACTATGTATACATTTCTTATTTCGATATTATATAAAAACGTTTTAATAATAATAATACTATAATATAACATAAATTATAATTAATATAATTATATAACATCATATTTTAGTATAGAGAAGGTACATTCTTTTAAGAATTTAAACTCATAATTGTGAAGCGAGCAATCTTCTTCACATTAAGAATAAAATAAAGATTAATTACATATATCAATCTTCATTCATTTGTCTAGATGATAACTCAGCGTGGCGACGTCTCTGCATTACGTTTAACTTTTATCATAATAGTGTTTATTAATACGTTCGCACATACATGCCTCTACTGCACCGTGGGAGAAATTATGGTCGCGCAAGTAAGTACGATACGTTTCGTTGTTGGCTTATTACAAACATGGCACAAGACGAATTGTGATGCTAACCCATACAGCATAGAACATTGCAACAACATTACTGCTATGTTGCTATAATGTTTTGTGCTGTATAGGTAATTAAGATTTTTTCACCCGATATAGAATCTCGATTGATTTAACACGCAATTTTTTGGCGTATAATCGATTTGTTTGTTAAGTATGAGGGAGTTTACGAGGCCGCATGCGAGTGCAAGTGGTACACATTGGAGCCGAAAAAAGCGAGAAACCTATTAATCATAATGATTTTCGCCAACAAACCGCTGTATCTTACCGCGGGAAAGCTGTTCCCTATGACAATGGCTACGCTTTGTAATGTAAGCGAGCTAAAACAACTTTATACGTATCTAACTTGGTATAAAAAGATATCGTAATAAAAATAGAAGTATTACAAATTCAATATTATCTTCGACCAAACGTGAATGAATCCATAACAATCTCATTTTTATTTTCTTAAAATTGTAAATACGTACAAGATAATGTTTAAAGAATAGTACAATTAAAATAAATTGTATATACTAATATTATATAAATTAGTGTTAAAAATATAAGAAAGATTAAACAATAAACATTTAATCATCGAGGCTGATCTATCTTCAAAAATACACAAAAACAGAAATAAAATTTATTATTATTATTGATTAAAAAGTATGCTTTTAATATTTGTCATAAATATTATGTGTTTTAGTTGTTGAAAACATCGGGCGGTTATATATCGGTCTTGCTGGCACATCGGGAATAAAAACGAGAAAAAATTAGAAGACATGACAATAGCGATATGTTTATGTATTCAATATTCACATTTATAATAAATATTAGTTTTGCTCATAACATTGTACATGCATGTTTATAAACTCATCAATATGCAGTCTAATGTTGTATTATTTATGATTTATAGATATATTAATAGTTTTTCCTTTTTTTTATTATAGAACATACATATGATGGACTCATCTTAATTTATTCCTCACAAGTTAGTAAACTCTTTGATTTATAGCAAGCAGATATATACTATAAATATATATACAGGGTGATTCAAAACAACCTGATGTCCTTGAAATGTCATATTCTTGAGCGAATTCTGAAACAATTTTTCCTTTTACAAAATTTTATTCGAAGTTTAATTAATTTTTGAGTTAGAATTGAAAATAGTTAATTACTTACAAATCCGATATAACGGGCAGGCAGGGATGGCGCAACGCGTTACAAGACTCACTTCACAATTTCACAATAAATATCACTAAAAATATTACTGTTTTTACTGCAGTACTTTATTATCACATACGCTTACATCAGTGCTATATCGTGAGTGCGCAGTAGAACTACGTATGCAACGTATATATATGTATATATAGATCTTTTTAAATGTGACATTACTTAATAGAATTGCTTTAGTGCATATATTGTGTTGCACAAACCATCTCTTATATGTATAAATTTTTCCATTTATTTATTTATTATTATCTTACTTATATATCTAAATTGTTAATATAACTTTATAAATTGTTTCCACGAGAATTTATCACATTTTGTTCAATGTCGCAGCATTATATAACTGCGATATAATAGTATCTGCAATAATATCATCATTAACGCAATCGCGATTTTCGCAAAATAATCTCATTATTAACATAAGAATTAAGATTAAATGGCATAATTAATGCCATTTATGCAGCTGTGTACATATTCTGACATATATATAAATTACACTGCACGTAACATCGATCGTTGTTGTGCTTTCCAAGCTTTGCCAGGCGCGGTATCAAGAGTAAAGAATATATATGCACGATGAGACAGTTAGCGTGTATCCTGATCGCCTTGACGATCGTTGGTAAGTCAAATATATATCGAATATTTAATAACACATATGTAATTGCTTAATAATCTCTAAATAATTAATTGAAGTAAGCTCAGAGAGAGAGAGAGAGAGAGAGAGAGTGTGTATATTTTTATTCTTATACTAAATATATAGACATAATTTATAAAAGTTAATTCTTTCCTATATGTATGTGTCTCGAAAGAGATATGAGATTACAAGAATTTGAAATGTAAAATTTATTTTTATTTATAGGAGATTTCTGAGCGTAACAATGATATATTACTGAAAAAAATATGAATTAAACAATAATAAGATTCTTGCGTATTACAATTTTGTTTGCAGATTAATGTCTTGTTTTAAAATTTTTTCGAGACAATTATTGAAAAATTAATTTGTACATCATACACATTTGCGAGATAATGTTTTGTTCTTTAGGAGTCTTTGCGGATGAACCGGAGAAGCTGGTAAACGGAATACGCACCTCCGTCGACGAATATCCGCATGCTGTTTCTATCAGGGTCAACAACAACCACTTCTGCGGCGGTAGCATAATTAGTAACAATATGATCATCACAGCTGGGCATTGCGTAGCGCCTTTAATCCAAAACGCTAACCAAAGACAAGGCTTAACCGTTGTCACTGGCACAACTTACCTCAGTTCGGGCGGACAGGCTCACAGAGTGTCGAGAATGTGGTATCACGAAAGGTACAATCCAAATACTCCGGGAAGAGATGCCGGTTTTGATATCGGTTTGCTTCAGGTATGAACTTGAGATAAATCTTGTTACATCCGCTTTATTTACGTTGTAACATTCTCGATGCATATATACCGTGATATTGCTATAAACATAACGCTATATAATGACGAAATAACGATTGATATTCCGGCTCATTCGTATTCCAAAAATATTTTCAGCTCTCCGCGCCCATTGCCTTCAACGCCAGACAAAAGCCAATCAGGCTTCCAACGTCGGATATGGTGAGGGGTGAATCCGTTACGATCGTAGCTTGGGGCTCTACAGGTTTCAGGCAACGCGTACACGATAATTTGCAAAAATTGAACGCGAGATGCATGCTCCAGGACGAGTGTCAGAGATATCATCAGAATTTCATGCTCGTTCACCCGAATGAATTCTGTACCCTCATCACCACCGGAACTGGAACTTGCAATGTACGTAATTACATTCCTATAATATACATATGGACGCGTCTCCGATATTTTTATATATTATTTTAACATTTAGTTATTTCTATTTTTAGAGATTCAATATTTTCTACTTGTAGAATATATTTGTAATTATGCTTGCTTGAATACGCACTTAATTACATCAGGATATTATTCGCCTTAACATATTTTCATTTTGTCCAAGATAATATTTGCTCTTTTGCTTCTTAAAACAGAATTCTTATATATGTATATATATATATA